GTCCAGGGCAGACCGGGTCAGCCATTCTGAAATGCTTTCCCCCATTCCTCTGCTCCGAGTCTAGTGGAGCGACACTAGGATTTGAACGGCTCCAGGTCCAATTACTGCAGTCAGCCGCATCTGGAGCGAGTTAACAGGCCGATCCAATCCAACCGCGCCAAGGCAACACACGCCCCAGTTTTGACGACACAAGGAATAATAACAATAAAAGCATATAAACTCTCACACACATAAACTCTCCCATCCAGAAAAATAATAACAGCAATAATACAGCAGGAAATGAAGAGTCACAGAGGCCAGGGCACAGGATCACAGAGCTTTGTGCAGGCCGTACTGTGTATGTTAGCAGCATGAAATGCGGCTTCGTGACATGTTTCGCTGCGAGGATTGTGATTTACATGTTTTAGTAGTGTGTGTGCATGAACATTTGCACAATTTGTTTGTTTACATAACCTTTCTAAGCTTTAATAATACAATATATTTGAGCTATTTGGACTAATAGGTGTGGGTTCTGCTTGAGCGATAATGCACTTTTTTTAAACTCTTTTACTGTACACTACCGGTCAAAGGTTTGGAATATTTTTTGAAAATGTAATCATAATTTGTTCGTAAAAAACATTACCACACATATTTCATGCATAAATTCGTGCATATCCACAGTTAGTGAATGAAGCTTACTATTCTAAGTGCAGTGTGGCGTTTAGCCATGAATGAATGCTTATTCGATATGGTTTATTTTGTTCATTAATTCACTGTTTGATTAATTATTAATAGTGATTAAGTCGTTCAGTAAATGTTTAGGGTGACTTGTGAGTTTAAATGTGGTGTACTAGTAAACAGTGTTGTTTAAGCGCTGAATGTAGGCAGTGACAGCGACTCATTCTTAGTTTTGTCACACTGAGGAAGTGACACAGCTGCTAAGGTCAGCGGTAGACACGGTGCCCGGGGGTCGTTGTCATGGCGCCCGTGTCGAGTAATAAGGTTAGACCCTGAGACTCTTAGCATTCCTTCAAAGGCACACGTGCACACACATGCACACTTCACAAATACACACAATCAAATGGTGCTAAACACTTTCAGACCTTCCACACTGCGAGTACTGTTCCTCTATACACAAATAGAAGACACACACACACACATTTATAAGACACAACTGCCTTACATACCAATTCTTTGAGCAACAAGTGTGAAAAGCCTTGGGCCACAAGAGCCCTGCTATTTTAAACATATCCTCTATAATCACTGCAATCATCTACATATCAATCTGTTGGTCTTTATTATGAAGCTGTGAAGTTGATGGAGGTTTTGGTGAGAGGGAGCAGTGCATGCTGGGAATGATGCATGCTGGGCCAGAGGGATTCTGGGAGGCAGCTCCCCTGCAGGCTTGGCCTCTGAAACAGCAGCATGGTTAATGGCCCTTTCATGGCTGGGCCACAAAGGCTTTTGTCTGTGCCTAATTCAGCCTATGGTGCACAGGGCACGGAGGGAAAGTGCACCCGGAGCCTAAAATCCTCCCTGCACCTCTCTCTGGGATGGGGAACCTTTTAGAGGTGTTTAAAAAAAAACGTTAATATTGCAGCCATGTCAAAATGAGCCCTTTGCTAATGTAATTTATGTAATACAGAAGAAAATAATAAATACATTGCATTTTACTAATAAATACATAGGATTTGTGTATACAGCAGCATATATACAAATGTTGTAATCCTTTGCATAAACAACCTCAGACCACAGATGCACCCAAATGTATTTGCACTGTGACTGTGCCAAATGAATCCGCACATGCCGAACGTGAACCATAAATTGCAGTGTAACGTACACACTTCCAAACATCCGCATCTCCAGCGTCAGAGAGCCGAGCCGTGTACATCACCTATAAACTTCACAAAAAAACACAAAAGACAAGCCACAGCCATCCCTTTTTTATGGCTGCCTCTCAGTTGTGGATTTATTTATGTAAAAACAGCAAACATCATACATTATCATAGACTACATATGACATCAGATATGTCATATTAAAAGTTACCTGAGACAATCACTGCACCCTAAATTCTGTACTGATGCGTATTAATTTGATTCATTTGAACTTTTGATTGCTATATTCAAATTATTTGAATGTTCTCAGAGAGAACCAGTATACAATTTTGAGGCTGTGGTGGGAACCCATGGCATTCACTGAATTTGCATATTTATTTTACCTGTAGTAAAAGGTGCAATGCAAATTCCATTGCAAACATATGTGTTTAAATGTGTGATTCCACAGTGTCTCTTATCATGTCATTGAATTTCTAGTGTCTTCTTATGTTATTTAATTGACAGGTGCAAAAACAAAAAAATAAAATGTTGTCTTTGCTTTATTTGAAGAAGAAAAAACAACACAAAAACTTTGGAACAATGTATGCATTTGGCAGACACTTTATCCTATACATTTTTATTGTATTTAATCACCCCATCTTGGAGTTTCTAGTTCTACACTGTAAACCCTAATGCTCAAAATAATTAATTGGTTTGAGTAGGACAAACTTAAATTAAACGAATTAGTTCAGTCAAATTAATTTTTATGAGTATTTAGCACTTTCTTTTTCTTTCAAGTTCACAGAACTGATATATTTTAAGTAAACTGAACTGGTTCATTGTTTTGAGTTTTATGAAATTATTTATTTTAATTTAGACGAACTTAAGTTTAACTGAAACGGCTGGATATCTATTTCCCAGCATGCTTTGCCGATGGCACTCGAAAGGGAGAGTAAATGTTAAAATTAAGTGTAATATAATGTTTTTTTGTGTGTAAGATTAATGTTAAGTGTGAGATTTAGTCGTGATTAATGTTTTGTTATGCTAATTTAGAAGAATTTCTGTTAATGTTGGCTTTAGGATAGTTACCATCATGGTGACAAGTGGTGCATGCAGCTTGATTTGAGAGAATCCCTTTATATTGCTGTGCTCATACAGCAAGTGTTTCTGTATAACATACTATTGCTAATATGTTAGCATTTACTACGTTAGGAGATTAGCTTTTTAAAGCTAACTAAGTTTATACTATTAAAAGTGTTTTGAGTTCTGCCAACTTATCCGGGTTTAAAGTGTACTTCATAGATTTAAGTTATATTAACTGAATGGAATTAGTACTATTAACTTTATTTACCCAAGTTATCTTAACAATATGTTATTGAGTTACTTGGACACAAATCAAATATTTTTTTATGCTTAAATTGTTTGAGTTAATAAACTTAAATGATTTAAGGCAATCGGTTTCCTCAAACGGTTTGAGTTGAACTAACTCATCAGGTTTTACAGTGTACTATTTGAAGTATAGCACATATTTTGACTGCTTAATTTCATTTTTTTGCAGTCATTGTGAGTAGCCCCGCCCACTATGAGATCTCATTGGTCTAGGATCCAACTCCCCATAACTGTATACATTTTCAATTATTTTGAATCAAGAAATGACTTGTGAGGCTATAAATGAAACTAGTGTTCTCTATCACCACATTAACTTGAATTTAAAAACTGTGTGTTATGGCAGAAAGGCAGAGTATATTACACATAGGTCCTTAATAATTTTTTATTTTTAGTGGTAACAGCTTAGACCCACCTGCATACTAAGACTGATGACATGATTAGAACAATGAGCAGTATTGAGGTTCCTGTAATTACTGGAGCAATTACAGCATGTGTGCATGCCAGCAGTGTGTGTGTGTGGATTGGAGAGGGTCTGATTGTTGGTGTGTCAACTGCAGCTGTGTCCACATGGGCAGAGAGCCTGCACAGCTAATAAGCATGCAAGTCTAATTCATCCTCTGCTATAACACCAGCGCTCATGCCAAGCAAACCAAAAAGAAAAACATGTGGCTCTGACATGGCATGCAAAAAACCAGGCAAGACCAACCACACACATCGCCATATAACAGGCTCATGCACGTCAACTTTCACCTGAGGAGCAACAGGTGACACGCAAACAAGGAATTTAGTATTTTTTTTAGACTTAATTACTTAGTAGTATATTGTTACTAGATTAAGTACACTGTTAAAAAAAACTTGTACATTTTTAGGTACAATCAACTTGGCTGTGTAAGTCATTTAAAAAATGAGTTGAATCTCGTATAACTTAAAATAAAGTTTAAAATGGCTCAACTTATTTTGATGAGTTAAAGTAATGTAAAATCATGTTATCATGACTAATTGATCATGTCTTTTGTTTTTTCAGTGAAATACAGAAGTATATTTTTCAGTTTTATTAAAACTATAATAATGCATTAGATTCTACTTATTCCAATAGTGGCTAGAGTCTATTTAAAAAAATTAAAGATTGCCTTTTTACTTATTTTTTTAAATCTAGGCTATCTATTCATTTTTTTTAAACTGTGATTTTAAGCTATTTGATTAAGAAAAAGCTATTGTAACTTGATTGTTGTAAAGTGATTTTAAGCTACTTTGGGATAGGCTATACTTGTGTCTCATTAATAAGAACTAGAACTATGGAATATTACAGTAAGAAAGAGGATATCTATGACTATGGTAGTCATTTTAAAAACTAATAATTATAAGTAAGCCTAACATTTGTAATAATTATTTATAATTTTAGTTTTAAGAAATAACTAGCCTACTAAAACTGTTTGCCATATTTTTCAATGCTGAAATGCCCGTTCAGGTAAATAGTGTGGGAGGTCTTTTAGTGCCGTGACCACCGACCGCGTCTGTTCTCGTGTGATGTGTGCCCGAATGGCCGGTTATTAATGAACCCAGTGGCTCTGAGAGACCCATGCGGGGGTCCTCACGTTTCACGGTGAGGCTTTCCCGCACAACACGGCACAGCTGCGCATGCGGGACTGTCGCTTCAATAGACGGGGGTCAATGCGAGCCCTGCGGGTACGAGCGCATACCAAATCAGGGAGAACAGAGAGGCAACGGGAGGGGGAGGGGCTCCTTATCCTGCGCACGTAACTTTGTGAACGTTTAGGTTTCGCACGCAAGATAACGCAAAGTTCTCGTTACGAACGTTCCACTCAGGCTTTAAAGCGTATTTCTTTAGGCGAGACAAGCGTGAACTGCGCTGAGATTTGGGAAGGAATCTTTATTGTTCTGATCCCTCCTCCTTCTTGGGAAGTGGGAGGACCCGAAAAGTTCGTCGCAAAAGGGAGAATTGTTCCAGGACTCAGTCATCCAAAAACGTCCTTTCAATGCAAGAAGTTGGGGAGCCGAAGAAAATGTCGGTGCTGCTGCAGTAGTAAATTACTAAAGCAGTAGCCGTTTGCGGAGAAAAGGAGGAGAGGAATTGTAGTTTTCTTGGATTAAACAGCGAGAAACGCTGGGAAAAGTCGACCAACGAAAAACTAGTGGATTCAACTGCAAACTACTGCACGTTTTTGGTAAGTCTCTCTCTCCTCCCCCCAAAACATCTCTTGTTTTTAGGAACCCCACCATGCTATTCTAATTGATTTCTCGAGTTTTCTTCACTTTGCATAAAATGTCCTACATTTTCTACTTTTGCGAACACTCTACCTATAGAAATTATCGAGTGTTGTTAATCTCAAGAAGATACATTTTTACATATTTTTTGTAAAAGCATGCGGGTGTTAGCAAAAGAGCTATTTTGTTTCGACGTACTCTTATCAGATTGCTGTAATACATGTGAAGTTACGTTTGCTATTTTTTCTTCTATGAAAAATGTTTAGTAACCGTATTTGTGACGGTATTTCAGTAAAAAGTTAGTTAAATGGGCTTTGGACGCGGGTGTAATGTTCATTGTTCCCCAATGCTAATCACAGGCAAAATTCTGTATTTGTCTGTATTTATGAGATCATATTGTATGCTTATATCGATGTATTATTGCTATAATTGTCAGTATTATGATGTGTAAGAGCATCTCTACATGAACACTTTTGGCATAGTTTTACAGGCCTCATTCAGCTGTAACGTTATAGTAGTTGACATTACTGTGCTCAACTCAATTTTACACTGAAAAAATAAATCAAAGTTTAGTGTTCTATATATTTTGTTATTCTATTAATATTTGGACGTCTAGATATCTGAATTTACGGAATAAATGTTTTTTTTTATGGAAAAAATTCAAATGTTGATGACTGTTGGTCAAATATATCAAAAGTTGTTTGTAAACAATTACAAATCAGAGTTGTAGCAGTTACATATAATTATTTACAAACTTCATAAGGGCTAAAATAGCTATTAGTATTTTTAACCGATATTATTTACCGATATTCACACATTTTCTTCTTAATCTGTTATCAATTTGTCAGACATACATAGCTAACTGTTAGAACAAGAAAATAGCCACTATTTAGAAAATAGCACAATAACTTAATAAGCACATAATAGATGCATAATAAATAAATGGTAATGCATAAATAATAATGAACAAAATATTCCTAATGCATATTATGTTTTATTCAAGTAGTCTAATGATTAGGTTATTATGAAAATGATCAATTTAGGCCATAAAAAAACTATAATGTAGGTCTAAAATGTAATTTGCTCATTGTATGCTTAATTTTGGGAATGAAACCAAACCTAATTGAGATGAACCACTAGAGGTTTGATTTCTCATTTATTTGTGCACACCTCTTCTGCGTGGAAAACCTCATACAATCCGTCATGGTTGTCATATAGTCAAAACAAGACAATACTGTTACAATGCTGCTAATGAAGTTTATCAGCGCCTCATAATGTTCGAGCCCAGGTGCTGCATTGTTCTGGAAAAAGAAGGAAAACTGGCCAACTGAGAGGAATGCTGGCTGACCTTGCGTTTGTTTCAAACTAGTTGATAGATTCTTGTGAGCCAGATCGCTCTGCTCAGAATCGGATGCCAAGAATTCAATCTGAGGAAAAACTGTGGTAGCTGGTTTTTGCTCAAGATGATTGGTGGTCGGGTGGATCAAAGTTGTTCCATAATTGATTCCAGTCTGATTATCTTTTTTGGCTTTCATAGTGCCTCTGACCTTATTTGGTTATAATGCTGGGAAGGCCCATTAGCTATGCACAGATGGATGCACAGATTTCAGATGACATGCCCTCACTGCTCCGCATTCTTTCAGTGTAACAGGTATCCCATAGCTGAGCCAGAGAGGCCCGTCTGGGGATTTGGAAAGCTTGATAAAGGCATATTAGATGGGAGGGATGAGGCTGATCGGGTATCAGCGTGGTAGAGATGTCAGGGATGTGACATATGTCTTGTTTTAATAGAAAAATAGACAACGAGGCTGTAGACATCAGCATAATGAACTGATTTCTAGTGTGTGACCAAATGAGAGCTGATTAGTCTTGTTGGACGTGAACGTTTTTTGTTGCCTCAGAGGTTTTTGGACCGACTTATTGTTTGCTTAAAGGGTGTAACTTTTCTGTTAATTTGCAGAAGAAGGCTACGTAATAAAAACCTCCTTCAGGTCGGCTTTCATGTCTGTTTCAGCGGGTATATTCATGCAGTCATAACAGCCCGAAGGCAACAATCTGCGGGTTTGTGTGTGTGTGTGTGTGTGTGTGTGTGCGGGTAAAAGATGCTCTCCAATCAGGATTATCTCCTCATAGTGGAATGCACGGGGTGTCAGTTTGCTATTTTCAAACGCTCTTTGAATTATACAAAGCTCAAAAGTACGGCAGCTGTCAAGAGGCAATTTTTAGCCCGCAGTGAAGAATAATTGCCTCTAAAGTATAAAGTCTCTTTTGGGACCGCACCTGGCCGAGGTAATGTGGTTTCAGAGCTTTCTCCATTTCACGAGGCCCATGATAACACCTGGACATCCTGGTGGCTTGTTGGCTTTCTCACTTTCTCATGTTTGGTTGATGTTTTCTTGGAAAACCCGAGCATGTCGTATGTTTAATTTTACTCTAAAACCTATGAAATCTCGCTAATGTGTTACCTTGTCATTTCACCAGTCATTGTGATAACTGTATCGTGTCAAGCGCTTGTTTGACCAGAGATGTCTCTGACATCAAGGAAACGCACAAACACAGCGGCACGTTGCTGTTTGTGTCAGTGTGTCTGTTGCAAGGCGGTGAGATCATTGATAAACTCCAGACCCTGGTAAGTAAGCAGCGACTGTTTGCAGACAAACAGCTCAGTGTGTGTAAAGCTGATATTTGTACAAAGATTAAGGATCGTTTGACAAGCACGGAGTAATGGAGACGCTCTCACAAGACTGTTCACACTCTCTCGATAACTCGCCTTCAGAGAGCTATAGCTCACTGTCAGTCACACACATGTTCTGAAACACACACGCACAGACTCTATTAGTTGTCTTCATTATCTGTCGAGTATAGATTATACTATAGATTTAATTCTTATAAATTAGTCAAAATCACTTTTGATGCAAAATGCTAATCTGAAAATATACTTTCAAATTAGCAAAGCAAAGTTGTCTCTGTTAAACATAAGGAGGCCTTAAAAGAGCTGTATACTTGTGCATTGTGATTTTTGCCCTGCAATATAGCCTACATTCATTCAAAGTGGTCGGTAACATTTTTCATTTTTCATATGCTGACCAAGGCTGCGTTTATTTGATCTAAAACAGAGTAAAATAACTGTTTAGCCTTTGAATATATTTTAAAATGTAATTTATTCTTGTGGTGGCAAAACTGAATTGCTGAATAAAAGTGTTAATTTCTTTCAAAAGCAAACGTTTCACTAACCCCAAACTTTTGAAAAGTTGTGTATCTGATGCCGGTGACATGTCCATCAGCACAGCACTTTTGTTTTGCAACAAGAGTTTAAAAAAACAGCATTTGTTTCTTCATCTTCATGATTTTTGGACACCATTTTCAAAAGCCAAAGGCTACTGTATTGTTTTGCAGTTTAGGGTTTGTTTATTTTGTGTTTGTTGTTTCTTTTGATGTGTCTGCAAACTGTGTGGTCATGAATGTTGCAGGTGTTTACAGTTGACAAGGGCTTCCTCTGCCAAAGCCAGACCTATGGCTCTGAAAGACCTAGTCTTTTGACCCGTGACCATAATAAACCTTTTAAAAAGACATTTTAGACACTTTTCAGCTTTAAATGTCCTATTTTGTTAGCTTTTTGACTGTTTTGCTTGTATTTACAGCCATTCACTCAAGCAACAGAGCATTATTGGACGAGTACTTTATAAACAATATTATTTATGTTTGATTTTTATTACATATTTTAATTTCCTCTCCCTCTCTGCCTGTTTTTCCCGATCTTTGGCTCTGGACTCTTGCTGGCGAGCACGCAGGCAGTCTAAGCTCACTGAGTTCCTGTTGAATAATGTGGAGAAATTGCTTTAGATTTATAATTGGTTCCATTCACTATGATGGAAAAGCTGCCAGAGCAACAGGGGCCCCTCCGTTCTTCCCTCTCTCTCTCTCTCTCTCTCTCTCTCTCTCTCTCTCTCTCTCTCTCTCTCTCTCTCTCTCTCTCTCTCTCTCTCTCTCTCTCTCTCTCTCTCTCTCTCTCTCTCTCTCTCTCTCTCTCTCTCTCTCTCTTTCCGCTCTCTTCTCCTTCAGACCGCTCATCTGCACAGCTATAAGCTTTGTCTGATTTTACAAGAAAATATGTTCTGTATTAATAGCTGTTCTTTATTTTGTAAAGAACTTTATATAGTGTTTGTTTGTGGAGCCAGAACATTTGTCCTCCCCTGTGAAGTGTTTGTTCATAATTTGAAAAGTCAGAAGGTTTATGTTGGATTTTTGAACATGTTGTAGTTTGGTCTGTATTTAAGCAATTGGTTATGAATGTGATTATTTATTTAAATTAGAGCAACACACAAACACTATCTTTGTGGGGACTCTCCATAGACTTAATACTGTACAATCTGTATATTCCATCCCCTTACACTTACACTAACCCTACCCCTAAACCTTCCCATCACAGAAAACTTTCTGCATTTTTACATTTTCAAAATAACTCATTCAGTATGATTTATAAGCTTGTTTCCTCATGGGTGACCTCAAATTAGATCCCCACGGTGACACACGTCCCCATGAGTCAGTGTGCATTTAGGTTTAAGTCCTCACCGCACCGGGATAGAAAAACATGAACACTCACACACCTTATTACATAATTGTGCATTTGTTCCAGACCCATCAATGAGTTTTCTTTTTCTGATATATCCTCATGCCATATTTTCCTTCACACAGGAGTTTATCTGTACAGGCACAATCAACTTTTAGTTATTTTGTTAAAACCAACTGTTTTCTTAAGCCAACCACTCTTTTTTCATTTGTATTAAGATGCGTGTGAAGTGATCTAAGTTCATTGGACCTGTTTACTGATTGCCTGACTTGACAATATTTTCCTAATAAGCATCTCCAAGGCAGTTTTGTAAATGGATTTTTTTGTGAACTGAACCTCTTCTAATACCTGCCTCGGTTGGGGAGCAGCATGAAAACACAGTCAGTCTAA